TCACCTGGAAAGCACTATGCTCACTGGAGAAAAGAGACACTGTCTGGAAGCTTTCTGCCTTCTTCAATTTGGTATACTTTCCACTGTCTAGTTGATACAATTATGGTAACTTTGTCAACTTAACAATTTATTCAAGAAGCAGCAAAGTCTGTTGCTCAGTTATAAAACCACAATGATGATTTCTGAATCTGGCAACAATTAAATACAATGTGATATAATTCACCACAAAACCCTGTAGATTGAAATTTTCAAATTGTCATTGTTTAAAACATGTTTATTGCCCTTTGCATCTGCATACAGAGTGACACACACAGGCTGATGCAATTTAAGAACTGCATCAAAGCACCTGGTTTCTGTACTATGGACTATTAGATAAACAAAATTAGATAAAAGTTCAAATCTCCATCTAATGAAGAAAACCAATGCTACCTACTTCTTTACTGTAGTGAAACTACTCTTGCCTCGGTATCTTTATTAAGCCTATGTTACTTATTCCCTTAAACAGCACAATAACTGATGGAAGAAGCTTTCACTGAAAGTCTTGCTGTCCTGGCAAGAGGCCAAACTCAGTCATAAGCATGTGGTTTGCTTGCGTAGGATTAGTCCCTGACTTGCTGAATTAAAAAGGATTCGGAGGGAGATGATATGAAAGGCTTTTGCCTGAGAATCTAAAGAACCTTGACCCTGACACTGAGAGTAGGCAATACAGTGCAATCCCTGAGACTAACATCTGCAGTTTCATTTATCCACATATGACAAAATATGTCCTCTAAGTCCTCCAGTGTGACTCTACGGTATTAATGGTCTGAAAATCCTTCATTACAATGGGTTTTGCTATTATCTGTGGTTCACACATTCACACAAAGTTCAGGAATGTATTTCCTGATAATATGGCAGTTGTATTGTACTATACTATACTAGAGAAAGCTTTTTTCTCTTTTGATAACATATCACACATGCAAAACCTAAAAATGTCCATGATGACAGCTAAAAATGTCCATTTTTGAAATGGAATTAGCAGTTCAGAAATTTATGTCCTGTAAAGAGCTGCATCCAAACTATTTCTAAACTCAGACCCAGCTCATAATGCATTTGCTGTCAGTTCTCAATTCCAGCACAGAAACAAAAGCAAAGAACTGGTGGAAAGGAAATCAACTTGCAGACATGACTATAATCTGGACATTTCTGAGCATGTCAAAAACAATAATGTCTGCTGGAAATATGTGACTGACATTTTTGTAAGGCTTTCAATTCCATGAATTGGGCTGGAAGGCATACACAATTCTATTTTCAATGATTACTGGTTGAAAATAATGCTTTTCAACATACTCAGAGATGCTTAACATTAAATACAAGAATGTAAATCAGATGTCAACTCTGTTTCCTTCACAACTGCTTAGTAGGTTTTTGTAGTCCTCTGAAACACATCTTTAAAACATAAGGAGAGAATATACAGTGGGAAAGGAAGGCTATCTCATCCCATTCCTGCTTGATTCCAGTGTTTCACAAGTAGAAGTTCAGAATGGGATCTTCCACAACATCTCTCTCATATCTCCATCAAGCTCTCCCAGCTGCCCTTTGCAAGAATATGTTTGGCAGTGGGCTGGCAGAAATGGCTCAGGGCAAGCTCTGTCATGCTTAGATTTTTAAGCTTTCTCAGAAAAACTGAACTCATTATGAAGCCAGCTGGGGAAACGCATCCATCACTAGGCAACAAGAGCCTAAGGCTGCAATCCAATATATGCAAGTCCCCTTGAACACAGGAGTACTTACTTCCAAGTGGATGGCCATTCTGAAAAGTAAAACATTTGCAGATGCTACAAACAGGTCATATGCATTTCAAATGTGGTTCTTAAAATAAAATTACAGACAACAGTGTAATTGCTCAGTTGGAAACAATTAGTTTTAAGGAAGAAGAAGTTTACTGAGAGAGTTATATACACACTAAAGTCTTTCCCACTCAAGAAGAGTGGGAAAGTAAGTGTTTATCTTTTGGCTGTATCTCAAATATCTCTTTAATATCATTTTTAAATAATTATGTTATTGATTATTGAGAGAATCTTTCAGTGCTCCAGGATCTGTGCTGACCCCACAAGAAATTCTATGTTGTTTTGTTGGTTTATATATCTTTATCTTTATTTTTATTTATTTTTTCATGTCAGGAGTGACTTGAGAAACTGCAAGTCACTTCTGGTGTGAGAGAATTGGCATTCTGCAAGGACATTGTCTGTGGGGATGGCCAGAAGTTTTGGGTGTTTTACCATCCTTGTGGGAGGCTTCTCTCATGTCCCTACATGGGGAGCTGGAGCTGACAGAGGGAGCTCATCCGCATTCTCCTCGGATTCGAACCTGCGACCTGTCGGTCTTCAGTCCTGCCAGCACAAGGCTTTAGCCCACTGCGCCACTGGGGGCTCATCTTTATGAAAAGGTAAGCAAGAAACATACAAATACAATGCAGGGGATATTTCTATGGTATTCAGTGACTGAAACCATTAAACCATTATTATTATCATTATCATTAATAAGCAATGCATGGAAGTGGAAGAAGACAACAGAATAGGAAGGACAAGAGACCTCTTCCAGAAAATTAGAAACATTGGGGGTAAATTTCAGGCAAAAATTGGTATGATAAGAAACAAAGATGGCAGGGACCTAACAGAAGCTGAAGAGATCAAGAGAAGGTGGCGAGACTATACAGAAGATCTGTATAGGAAGGATAATAATATTGAGGATAGTTTTGACGGTGTGGTGAATGAATTAGAACCAGACATCCTGAGGCGTGAGGTTGAATGGGCCTTAAGAAGCATTGCTAACAACAAGGCAGCAGGAGACGACGGGATCCCAGCTGAACTGTTTAAAATCTTAAAAGATGATGCTGTCAAGGTGATGCATGCCATTTGCCAGCAAATATGGAAAACACAAGAATGGCCATCAGACTGGAAAAAATCAACTTATATCCCCATACCAAAAAAGGGAAATGCGAAAGACCGCTCAAACTTCCGTACAGTGGCCCTTATTTCTCATGCCAGTAAGGTAATGCTCAAGATCCTGCAAGGAAGACTCCAGCAATACATGGAGCGAGAGTTGCCAGATGTTCAAGCTGGGTTTAGAAAAGGCAGAGGAACGAGAGACCAGATTGCCAATATCCGCTGGATAATGGAGAAAGGCAGGGAGTTTCAGAAGAACATCTACTTCTGCTTCATTGACTATTCTAAAGCCTTTGACTGTGTGGATCATAATAAATTGTGGCAAGTTCTTAGTGGGATGGGCATCCCAAGCCACCTTGTCTCTCTCCTGAGGAATCTGTACAAGGACCAAGTAGCAACAGTCAGAACTGACCACGGAACAACAGACTGGTTCAAGATTGGGAAAGGCGTACGGCAAGGCTGCATCCTCTCACCCAACCTTTTTAACTTGTATGCAGAACACATCATGCGATGTGCAGGGCTTGATGAATGCAAGGCTGGGGTGAAAATTGCTGGAAGAAACATTAACAACCTCAGATATGCAGATGACACCACCCTGATGGCCGAAAGCGAGGAGGAGCTGAGGAGCCTTCTAATCAAGGTGAAAGAAGAAAGCGCAAAAGCCGGGTTGCAGTGAAACATAAAAAAAACCCAAGATTATGGCAACAAGAATGATTGACAACTGGAAATAGAGGGAGAAAACGTGGAGGCCGTGACAGACTTTGTATTTCTAGGTGCAAAGATTACTGCAGATACAGACTGTAGCCAGGAAATCAGAAGACGCTTACTTCTTGGGAGGAGAGCAATGTCCAGTCTCGATAAAATAGTGAAGAGTAGAGACATCAGACTGGCAACAAAGATCCGCCTAGTCAAAGCCATGGTATTCCCTGTAGTAACCTCGGGATGTGAGAGCTGGACCTTAGGGAAGGCTGAGCGAAGGAAGATCGATGCTTTTGAGCTGTGGTGTTGGAGGAAAGTGCTGAGAGTGCCTTGGACTGCGAGAAGATCCAACCAGTCCATCCTCCAGGAAATAAAGCCCGACTGCTCCCTGGAGGGAAAGATACTAGAGACAAAGTTGAAGTACTTTGGCCACATCATGAGGAGACAGGAAAGCCTAGAGAAGACAATTATGCTGGGGAAAGTGGAAGGCAAAAGGAAGAGGGGCCGACCAAGGGCAAGATGGATGGATGGCATCCTTGAAGTGACTGGACTGACCTTGAAGGAGCTGGGGGTGGTAACGGCCGACAGGGAGCTCTGGCGTGGGCTGGTCCATGAGGTCACGAAGAGTCGGAGACGACTGAACGAATGAACAACAACAACATTATTATTATTATTATTATTTGCATATATTGTTTATTGTGTTTTATTCATGTTGTGAGCTGCCCTGAGTCCTTTTGGGGAGATGGGGCTGGATAGAAATAATAATAATAATAATATTTTACTGACACAAAAACACTATTATTATTATTATTATTATTATTATTATTATTATTATTATTATTATATTTGAAACACAGCAAGATGAGTCCACAGCAGACACTCTGCTGTATGTATGGGCAAGTGTGTATGCTTTGTATGTCTTGCATGTTTTGATATGGTCAAAATTGACTAATCAATAAAGAATTGTTGTTGTTGTCAGTGCCAATTGTGTTTAAGTACAGGCCAAGGTCTTTAGGCACTGCACCGTGTGCCAATCACCACTGGGACCACCTTGAATGGCTTGTGCCATAATAATAATAGTAGTAGTAGTCGTTTATTCGATGCTTAGGCTATAGGTCTTTCACATACAAGGCAAGACAAATAAATAAATACATGAATACCAGATTATTAAATACAATATAAAATACACAATAAAATCCTATAAATCATTAAAATGCTACATATATCAATGGCAAGATGCACCTTTAATATACTACATAATGCGTAGACTCACACCTGCGTAATTAAAAATAATAATTAAAATAATTAAAATTATTATTATTATTATTATTATTATTATTTCCCTTCCAGAGACTAGATGCAATACATTCTTACCATATATTCCATATTGGAAGCTTGTGGATACACCTGACCTCGTAGCTTGTTATGAAGATCCAAGATACTCTGCATATCACTGTCAGTGATGGCTCTTTTTCCTCTTTGCTTGGCAACCCACCATTCACCATCTTCATCCATGTACTTTTCCAGCATCTCCTCAAACAGTGTTGCATTGGGAAGTATCATAGCAGAAATGGCTTGAGCTATGAATAGGAAAGCAGTTACTCTGAATCCTCCTTCTGCTATGCTCTTCATGTTGAATGGTCTCAAAAGTTCTCTGTGTTAACTCCAAGACAAAGACTTCTTCCAGGCCTATTGGCTGCAAGAGCAAAAGAGAGTGAAGTGGTTTTGAGGTTGTGTTACTGCAATGAATTGATTTACAGAACAACAAAAGTCAAACTGTACTTGAAAAAGCAGTGTCACAGTGTGGGATGTTAAGAGACTGACTAAGGAGCCAGCTAATGCAAACACTCAACATTTACACGGTGGGTATGAATGATAACTTATCTTCCTCCTCATGAACTGAAGACTGTAAGTGTGCTGTACAAGACGATGTGAATGCACACTTGAGAGCTTGTATGAAAGGACTTCAGTTTCCCCACGAAGGCACTTAAAATGGGGTGGTCACAGAATGACTGATTAATCCTGGCCTCTTGCAAAGAAACTCAACTAAAAATACTTTTGCAACTTCAAAATGCACTGTGATTCTAAAATAAGAAATAAATCAGGAAAGCTTTCTGAGAATTAAAATTCTTAAAAAATAAAAGGCACAAGCTAGCCGAATGTAAGTACTTTAATAGCTGTTATCCTCATCACATTTACTGTGGCATAAGCTTTATTAAACACGGTAGGACTGAACTCCTCAATAAACATGCATCCAGCTATACTGTACATTTCATTCATTTCAATGGTGGATAAATTAAACACGTGCTCAGCTCTTCCACTGAAATCAGTGAGATGTAAATGCACTTACTGATTCATTCTGTAAGTTATTAAATGACCACTCAGAAGCCATTCTTCCATGAAATATATTGAAATATATACAGTATGGTTCCCATATCCACAGGACCGGTCCTTGCAGTTTCACTTATCCACATCCATCAAATTATGTCCCCTCTAGACAGTTTCTAAATCCTCCAGAGTGATTCTATCATAACATTGAGCTGGTGGGCCATCATTTCAATAGGTTCCACTGTTATTTAGAGTTTTGCATATCCACACAAAGTCCAGAGGATATGGGGATAATGTATTTTTCGTTTTGTCCACAATTCAAGATTTTTTAAAAAAGAAAACTTATAAACCAGACATTAAGTGTAGTATAAGGTAAAGGTTTTCCCTTGACATTCAGTCTAGTTGAGTCCAACTCTGGGGTGGTGCTCATCTCCATTTCTAAGCCGAAGAGCCAGCGTTGTCCATAGACATCTCCTAGGTTATGTGGCCAGCATGACTGCATCGAGCACTATTGATCTACACACATTTACATGTTTTCGAACTGCTAGGTTGGCAGAAGTTGGGGCTAACTACAGGAGCTCACCTCACTCCACAAGTTCGAATCGCCGACCTTCCAATCAGCAAGTTCTGCAGCTTAGTGGTTTAACCCGTTGTGCCACTGTGTAGAATACTGTACAAATAATACATTATCTGTGAGCATAACTTCCAATTAGCAGTTTAACTCGCTGCATCACTGTGTAGAATACTATACAAATAATACATTATCTGTAAGCATAACTCAAATAATGTATGGTAATTCCAAAGATACTAACCCTCTAAAACCTAACTGGAGTGCAATGCCCTGAATAGTCCTGCAATAGTCAAGTAACACAGGTTTCACAGCAACCAGTGGCAAATGCATCCATATTTGTTAGTACAGGACTCCTTGGTTTGGAAAGGGGCCATAACCATGCAGATGTGTCATCATCCCCTTCTCCAAACCACAGAGCACAGTTAGGAACCAATTTATCAAGGGAGTTGGACAAGATGTGGGATGCATTTATTATCAAAGAAAAGCATCTCTGACACCTGGGAATTGACTGCCAATCACAGCAGAAATTTTGCCATATTTAAATCAAAGAGTTTGGGGAAAGAGTTTGGAAAACTTGCTTTCTCCCTTGTTGTGGTCAAAGAAATGAGAGCAAGCATCAAGCCAAATATATGCGTGTGTGTTCTTTATGCTAACAAGCCAGCATGTTGTAGTAGTTTGAGTACCGGACTACAGCTCTGAAGACTAGGGTTAAGACTCCTACTTGGTCATGGAAATCCACTAAGGGGAGCTTGGGCACGCCACACTCTCCCAGCTGCAGAGGAAGGCAAGGAAACTCATATGAACAAATCTTGCCAAGACAAACCCTGTAATGGGTTCTCCTTCAGGCCACCTTAGGTCAGGAAAGACTTCATGAGACAATACCACAATAATAAAAACAAATCAGCTTTTGTACAGAGTTATAAGTTAGATGATTTTCTTTGAAACTCATTTGCTTCTTTGCAAAATGAAATTTCACCTTCCCCATCACCCTCCACAGACAGGTCTGGAGCTGAAAGCTGCCACGTTGGAAGAGGCCCCAACAGATGGCCATCCAGCCATTCAGTATTTGTAATAATGGAAATGGTGATGGTGATAATGTGAATAGAAGCAACCCCTTGAGCCATCCAGTCCAACTCTCTTCTGCCATGCAGGAAAAGCACAACCAAAGCACCCCCAACAGATGGCCATCCAGCCTTTAAAAATAACAACTTTTCAGAAGAAACATAAACATTTGGCTATGGGACCAAGCCTTTGGGCAGTAAGCAGTACAAGGAATGATCAGGGATTATATGCAATAGATATGATCTTTGGAATGGCCTAGACTACAAGTGTTGGATTGTATGATTTTAATTTTATATTGATATGTTTTTAATTCCATGTTTTAATGTTAAATGATGTGTTTTATGATTTAATTGATAATTGTATGTTATTATCATTATGTTAGGTTTCTGTATGCAAGGCATTAAATTTTACCATAATTATGTTGCAAACCACTTTGAGTCGCCCACTGGAAGGAAAAGTAAATAAATAATACACATGAAGTAAATAAATAATAAATACCCCAGGGGAAACCCCAGGGGCTATCCAGTCCAACTCCCTTCTGCCATGCGGGAAAAGCACAATCAAAGCACCCCCAACAGATGGCCATCCAGCCTTTGTAAATAGTAATAATAATGGGAGTCCCTGGTAGTGCAGCGGGTTAAACTCCTGACTGAAAGGTCGGTGGTTCGAATCCGCAGAGCAAGGTCAACTCCCACTGTTAGCCCCAGCTTCTGCTAACCTAGCAGTTCAAAAACATGCAAATGTGATTAGATCAATAGGTACCACTCTGGTGGGAAGGTAAGGGCACTCCACGCAGTCATGCTGGCCACATGACCATGGAGCCGTCTATGGACAACAACAGCTCTTTGACCTATTCAACTTAGAAATGGAGATCAGCACCACCCCCCCAGAGTCGGACACAACTAGACTTAATATGGAGGGAAACCTTTACTTTTTAATAATAATAATAATAATAATAACAAAACAACAATAATAATAGGAGCAACCCCAGGGGCCATCCAGTCTGACCCCCTTCTGCTATGCAGGAAAAGCACAATCAAAGCACCCCCAACAGATGGCCATCCAGCCTTTGTAATGAATAATAATAGCAATAATAATAATAATAGGAGCAACCCCAGGGGCCTTCCAGTCCAACCCCCTTCTGCTATGCAGGAAAAGCACCCCCAACAAACTGCCATCCAGCCTTTGTAAGTAATGATAATAGTAATAATAGTAGTAATAGGAGCAACCCCAGTATCCAGTCCAACCCCCTTCTGCTATGCAGAAAAAGCACAATCAAAGCACCACCAACAGATTGCCATCCAGCCTTTGTAATTAATAATAATAGTAATAATAATAACAGGAGCAACCCCAGAGCCATCCAGTCCAACTCTCTTCTGCCATGCGGTAAAAGCACAATCAAAACACTCCCAACAGAGGGCCATCTGCTTCAAAACCTCCAGAGATGGGCACTGCACCAAGCAGCATATTCCACCGCTGTATCATCTGGAAGTCCTTCCTGATGTTGAAGTGGCATCTCTTTGAATCCATTGCACAGGGTCCTGCTCCTCAGAGGAGAGGCACACCAGCCTGCTCCCTCCTCAATGAGGCATCCTTTCAAATCTGCCTCTCTCTCTCTTTCGTCCCTTCCCCGCCTTCCTTCCTTCCTTCCTTCCAGGGGGTCCTCTCCCACCGGCGGAGAAGAGAGCAAAGGGAGACCCACCCGTGGGCTGCTTGGGCTGGAAACTGGGACCGCGAGGCAAAACGGGGAAGGGAGAAGGAGGAGTGCCATCGAAGGGCGCGCTTACCTCGGGCCTCTTTTGAGACAGACAGAGCGGGTGGCGGAGGGCAAGATCCCGCCAAGGAAGGGCGGAGAGGGCAAGGGGAGCAGCCTTTGTGGGCTCCGTGTGGTGGGCCGCGCCTCTTCCCCGCCCCGGCTACTGTGCTGAGGAGCCTGCTGCGCGCCTCTGCCCTGGCCCGCCTCGCCGGCCGCCCTTTAAAGCGCCGGCCTTGGAAGAAGGGAGGGCGACCCCTCCACCCCGCCCGCCCGCCCTCCCTCCGTGACGCGCTCGCCCGCCGCCCCGGCTGACCCCGTCCGCACGCCCGGGGCTTCGGAGGACGCCTCTCCGGAGCGGGTCAGCGAGCAATTCCTCGGTGGGCGGTGGGTCTCTCCCGGAGGCCCGCCAAAGGGGACCCGCCAGGAAGTCCTGGCCTTCAGGAGAGGCCGCCCCAGAAAAGGCTGGCCTGGCAGAAAAGTTGCAAGCACAAGAGCCTCCCGAGGATGAGCGCGGCAGCCCTTGAGGCCCAAAGCTTGGCCCAAGACGTTTGGCTCTCGGGAGCTGAGCATAAATACACCTCCAGGCGCCGCACTAGCTAAGGTCAGCTAAGGTTTCCTGGTACAGAAGACACAAAATCCCACACGTACGTCTTCTCCCTCCAGGTAGGAGGAAAAAAAATGCAAATTCAGTGAGTAAATATTGGAATCGCTGCTCTATTAGAGCACACAAAATCCAGTGCCCAAAGCTGCCTCGCTCTGAATCCTAGAGTTGGAAGAGACCCTAAAGGTCATCCAGGCCAACCCCGTTCTGCCAAGCAAAAATACACAATTAAAACCCACCTGATAGATGGCCATCCAGCCTCTGCTAAAAAACCTCCAGAGAAGGAGACTCCATCAAGATGCAAGGCATCACATGGGTGCCACTATCAAACAGTTCTTATCCTGTGGGGAATTGTAGTTTTACAAAATCTTTAACCTTCTCTACCAAAGGGTGCTTCACTAAATTACACTGAGTTGGGGCAGAGTTGTGTCAAACAGCATTAATTGTATACTATAGGTGCACCTGAGAGAATGTGATTGCACAAGCACTTTCCTTGCAAGTAAAGGAAGGATTCCATCTGAACTTTAGGAAGAACTTCCAGACTGTGAGACCTGTTCAGCAGTGGAACTCTCTGCCCCGGAGTGTGGTGGAGGCTCCTTCTTTGGAGGCTTTTAAACAGAGGCTGGTGGTCTTTGCTTCTTCCAGCACGCTGACATTTGTCGTCTTGTCTTCCCAAGAGATTTGCAAGATTTTTCAGAGGCAACGTTGATGAAATTGTTCTAGGAGTTGCATGTGACAATCTTGATAAAGTAGTGAAGAGTAGAGACATCACACTGCCAACAAAAGTACACATAATTAAAGCAATGGTATTCCCTGTAGTAACCTATGGATGTGAGAGCTGGACCATAAGGATGGCTAAGCAAAGGAAGATAGACTCTTTTGAGCTTTTGTGGTGCTGGAGGAAAATTCTGAGAGTACTTTAGACCACGAGAAGGTCAAACCAATCCATACTGCTCATTGGAGGGAAGTACTTTGGCCACATAATGAGAAGACAGGAAAGCTTGGAGAAGACAATTATGCTGGGGAAAATGGAAGGAAAAGGAAGAGGAGCCGACCAAAGCCAAGATGGATGGATGGTATCCTTGAAATGACTGGCTTGACTTAGGGGTTAGGGGTGGCCATGGCCAACAGGGAGCTCTGGCATGGGCTGGTCCATGAGGTCACAAAGAGTCAGAAGTGACTGAATGGATAAACAACAAGCCTAGTTTCCAACAACCACTGAGGATGCTTGCCATAGATGTTGGTGAAACATCAGGAGAGAATGCTTCTGAAACATGGCCATACAGACCGGAAAACTCACAGCAACCCAACATTTCCCACAGTTTGAATCCATTGCTCCTAGTTTCTAGAACAGAGGAAACAAGTTTGTTCCGTTTTCAATATGACATATTTTCAGACATTTGAACATTGCAACCATGTCTCCTCTTACCGTTCTCTTCTCCAAGCTAACCATGCAAGATCCTTAAGCTGCCTCCCAAAAGCCATGGCTTCCAGATTTTTTAACCATTTTGGTTGCCCTCCTCTGAATATGTCCCAGCTAGTCAACAAGTCGTCAAATATTTTGGAGTCTAGAACCAGTAGTAATACTCCACTGGCTCTGGAGGCAACCACACCATAATGGCTCATCCCATAGCAGTAGTGCAGGCATGGGCAAACTTCAGTCCTCCAGGTGTTTTGGACTTCAACTCCCACAATTCCTAACAGCCTCAGGCCCTTTCCTTTTCCTGAGGCTGTTAGGAATTGTGGGAGTTGATGTCCAAAACACCTGGAGGGCCCAAGTTTGTCCATGTCTTATCTACACTACAGAAATCATGCCATTTGGCACCACTTAAGTGCCTGAGGGGGGAAATGAAGAGGCCTGAGGCTGTTAGGAATTGTGGGAGTTGAAGTCCAAAACAACTGAAGGGCCAAAGTTTGCCAATGCCTGCAGTAATTGGACAGAGTTTTCATAGTCCAGCCAAGCTGAAACCTATTCAACCCCACGAGGCCATCATCTGCAGTTTAGCCTGAAGTAAAGATAGAACATCCCTGCACATCATCTTGGCATCCAGGCGCAACATCTGATCCACTTACAGTTTTAGGGCTAGTATTGACCAGCACAGTATTTTTCTTGATTGGTGATACCCAGAACTGGACACAGTATTCCAGATGATATCTGACCAAAAGAGAAGAAAGTGGTTCTGTTACTTCCCTTGATCTAGAGACACTATATTGAATCGCATTGCCTTTTTAGGTGCTATATCACACTGTTGGCACATGTTCAACTTGGGGTCTACTAAGATGTCTAGATCCCTTTCACATGTACCACTGTCAACCCTAAAATCGCCCATCTTATATCTCTGCATTTCAGTTTCTTTGCCTAAGCAAACTTTATAAAAATGAAAAATGCAGAGATAGCAGGTGGATGACATGTAAAAAAAATTTACAAATAGAAACAACTTGTTATTAGTACATATGACTTGTTTCTTCCAAGCCCTTACCATGTCCGTATTTATATCACATGATGTGTCTGATGTGAAAGGAGTATGCATTTCCCTGTTCCTGACTAAATAAATATATGGCACAGTATAGATGTACCAGAGAAGAATCAGCTATACAGTGAAACATTTGTGTCAAGGAAATTAACTTTACCATCTTGAAGAACTCAGCACCACATTTGCAAAGCTTAGGTACCAGAGTACTGCAATGACTAGGGTAATATCATCATAACAAAGCTAGCTCTTTATAGATAGCCAGTAATGTTCTGTGTACATATTTCAGTGATATTTATTTTGGGTAACATGCAACCTTCTAAGCCCCTACACCATCAGATTTTAAAGCAAATAATTTACTTTATTCTGGTTTGATATAGCTGAACTCTTCTTAGTTTCCTTCATACTGATTCTGAACCTCATAAAAATGCAAAGTAACTTTTATAACTACACATACATAATGGAAATGATAGATTTTAGCATGATTACAGTTTCACTCTGGGCTATAAAAAATCAGAGGGTAAACAAGCACTTAAAGTTTATGATTATGCTCCAAAGGCATTTATTTAATTTTCAAGAAGGTAGCATTTTTGCAATTTTGACAAATATGGATTTTACTGAAGCTAGAATGAGCTTCCCTGTAGACAAATCCTATGCACACTTATATGCTTCAAGTAAAAAAAAAACCCTTATCTTATGAACTTAAGGTGAAAAAAGGGCATTAAATGATAATGCACAAGATGTAAGTTTGACCTTAATTTCAAATATGTCAGCAAGACTTTAATATTCTTACATGCCTTTATTCCGCCCTGCCATCTTGATTGTGGTAACAAGTTCTGCTATTCATAACTTCTCAGAATAAATCAAATTTTGAAGCATTATGAATAAGAAAGGAAATAAAACAAGTGTCTACTAAATCCTGCCCTGATATTGTGCAGGAGACCCCAAATCAGACAATTCGGAAGGCAATATGGATTACTTCAGTAGCAAAATACACATTACTCTTGTATCCTTCTTGCCACCTTTACGGCTCCTTCCACCTTCCCAGCAGACTACAACAAACTAAATATAGCTCAAAAAACTGAATACAGAAAATTCCAGAAAAAAAGAAGAAATATGTTCAGCATGTGTCATTTCACCTGTTCAGTGTAGTTAAATCCTAATATCATAACAAATGATATTTGTTATGGCAGGGGCCGAGCTTTAGCACAGCAGATTAACCACTGAGCAAAAGGTTGACCGTTTAAAGCCCGGGGTCAGGCTGAGCTTCTGATTTTTAGCCCAGCTTCTGTCTACCTAGCAGTTTCCAAAACAGCAATGGAAATAGATAAATCGATCAAGGAAGTTTACAAACAAAACTCTTCGGCAGGGAAAAGTGGAGGACAGCAACCCCCCCCCCCCATGGTCAAAATCAAACACAGCCTCCAAGATACTGAAGATGGGAAAGCCTATATATACTTCTATCTATATATAGTTATCTGTCTTGCCAGTGTATAATGGGATTAATGGTTTGCTGTATATGTGTTCTGTGATCCACATGATCCCATACTATACAAACATTCTGACTGAAGGACCTCACGATCAGCGGTTACTTCTTCAATATTTGTCTTTGCAACCAGAGTTATTTTGTTCTTCCCTTAATTACAATCAGTTGGCATATGTCTTTTATACTACTGGTAGTAGTAGTGGCCTCAGAGAATAACATGAAATATAGTATTGTGGGTCACCAGTACCTTATTCTACAATTATGTGCAGACATAATTACATGATTGGGAGAGACCACACTGCTGTCACATTTTCACACATCATTCATGTGGGAGTTTGGAGGGGGGGGGGCAGGAAGAAGAGATAAAAATCACTGCATTGTGGTTCTACAAAAGCACAATTAATCAGGCCTTTTTCCTAGTGCATTTACTTGCATCATATGGATGAACTGCAATAAAAATAAACACAATAGCTGAGCTGGAAACAAGAATGAAGTCACACTATGCAGCGAAGAGATGATGGGGATCAGCCTGTCTCAAAAACAATATTTCATTACTAACACCAATTATAATATGAAACATTTTATTTTAACTTTGTACATTAGGTTATTCTTATACAACCTTAGTGACCTTTAGATGGAAAATCATCAGTATTCATGATAG